ACAATCTAAAGGTTGTATTGATAGGACTGGGTGACTGGGATGCGGGGAGTGAAGAAAGGCAACAAAGCTGATTCTTGGGTTTCAGGCATGAGCAGCTGTGGGGATGACAGTGTCTACAGAATCTGCCTTTCAAAAGGTTCTGGTATTCCTAGAATATGTCACAGGAGATCCCTACTTTCTCCTCTCAGCGCAGTCAGCCTGCCTCCAAGCCATTATAACTTCCTCTCTAGATCACTTCCTTCTCCTTAGTTTGCCTACTACTTGTCTATGCTGACTTCAAATCACCCCAGGCTGTATTATCTTTTTAAATACAGCTCCAGTCATATTATTCCCCATTCAAAAATCTCCAGCGTTCCCTATCACTTATGTGAGTACAAACTCTTTACCTTGGCTTTAAAGGCTCTTTAACCTACAGTTCCAGCCTGATTTTCCATCACTTCTCTAAAGTCCTGTTTTAATCTAACTAGGCTACTTGTTCCTTGGCTGTGTTGCCACATTCACACCTCAGTGCTTCTGCTCATGCTATTCCTTAAGTCTTACTGTCTCATTATGCTGAAACCTTACTCATCTTTCAATGAAATGTTCCATCTTTAAATCTCATAAAGCTCGGTACCTCTCTTATGGCACTTGAAATTTATTGGGGTCATTAGTGTACTTATGCCCATTTCTTGTACCCTAACAGACCATAATACCTTTGAGTGCAGGGCTCCATGACTCATACTACACCCACAGCTCTTGCCCTTGCAAGGTTAAGAATACTGCTTTACCGTAGTAGGTGCATGTTACTAAATGTATTTGAATAATTCATGGTATCAGTTACATTAAGGAGTGATGAGATCCAAGTTGTTGAAGGGGAGATGTTTTCTGGTAGTACTTGCCAGCACCAGGGCTCATGGCAAAATTCCTCTTCAGGATCCTTCCATCAAACTCCTTGCAATCATACACACAACACAAACACAAACACACTCCATTTATAGTCTTCTGACTGCTCAAAATACTCCAGTGCAGCAGTCCACGTAAACTTACTTTTTCTTTGAAGTATTGAATATTAAAAATTGGAGCCTCGGCTGGGCGTGGTGGCTCACACTGATAATTCCAGCACTTTGGGAGGCAGGTGGATCACGAGGTCAGGAGATTGAGACCATCCTAGCCAACATGGTGAAACTCCGCCTCTTCTAAAAATACAAAAATTAGCCGGGTGTGGTGGCATGTGCATGTAGTCCCAGCTACTTGTGAGGCTGAGGCAGGAGAATCACTTGAACCTGGGAGGCAGAGACTGCAGTGAGCCGAGATCACGCCACTGCACTCCAGTGTGGGTGACAGAGCGAGACTCCGTCTCAAAAAAAAAAAAAAACTGCAGGCCTCTAACTCAATATTTTTCAAACTGTTATAACTCATTAATAAGCCATGAAATCAACTTAGTGAGTTATGATTAAGGGAAAGTATTCTTTCCTGAAACTTGTTTCAAATACGTGTATACATATACATGTCTGTGTGTTCTGGGTCACAATGCAAAACATATTTCTTACGATGGGTCTTAGTCAAAAAGGTTTGAAAGCTAGTGCTTTAATGCTCTGCATTTCACCCCAAGATCAGCACACAGAACTGACGTAACAAAAGAAAGATGTTAGGAAAATAGTAATTAGACTAGCTGATTAAAACGTATATTTTAAAATGTGAATGATATAGCTAACTCTTCCCTTGGGGTATTTGCATTTAGGGAGGTGTTTTTAACCTGAATTCATCTAATCAGGAAAGTGAACGGGAAATCATTTTGAACTACAGGCTTCTTGGTGCCTCCAGCAAGGATTTCCTCCAGTAGCCCAGTTCCCTGGGAGAGCTGGGTTCAAGAACCAGGAACTCCACTGCTGAAAGTCTACTGGTTTCTAGGTTACAATACACAGAAGTGGTAATAACCTTTTGTAAGGGAAACATATTTACAACGAAAATGCACTCCTACCACGCACACAGCAAGCTTAATCAATTTATATTTACATATATGTATTTAACCTATGCCTACTAGGAATACAATCCTACCTGTCCACATGAATGAGCTATACCTGATAGGAGGCAAGCTGAAGCCCCAAGTTGAGCTAAAAATGAGAAATACTATGAGTTACTGAAGGCAACAGTGTATGTGAGACAGGAAGGGAGGGTGTGGGAAATGGTAGAATGAGCAAGGGGGCTCCAGAGTGTGGTAGATGCATTACACCAAGTGCTTATTACTTTGAGGATTGGTGGTAATGAGAGAAGATGAGAGAAGGAGTGGGATATGGAGAAAACAATTTCCTAGTCAGCTGTATGCCCCATGACAGTACACAGCAATAGCCCAGCAGGAGTGCACAGGCAGGTTATGTCAACACACAAAAGTTGAATTCCAAGTCCTAATTCCAGCCCTAACTCCATTTAACAGATTGCCCCTTATAACTGGTTGCTACTTGTGTTACATTCTCAATTTATTGTTGAGAACCAACAGTTTCCTAACTAATTACTAATAGTAAGACTATTTTTTTTTTTTGAGACAGGGTTTTGCTCTATCCTTCAGGCTGGAGTGCAGTGGTGCCATGGCTCACTGTAGCCTCAAACTCCCAGGCCCAAGTGATCCTCCCACCTCAACCTCGGGAGTAGCTGGGACCACAGGCATGGCATAAGCCACCATGCCTACCTCATTTTTTTTTTTTTTTTGAGACGTAGTCTGGCTCTGTTGCCCCGGCTGGAGTGCAGTGGCACGATCTCAGCTCACTGCAAGCTCCTCCTCCCGGGTTCACGCCATTCTCCTGCCTCAGCCTCCCCAGCAGCTGGGACTACAGGTGCCTGCCACCACGCCCGGCTAATCTTTTGTATTTTTAGTAGAGACGGGGTTTCACCGTGTTAGCCAGGATGGTCTCAATCTCCTGACCTCCTGATCTGTCCGCCTCAGCCTCCCAAAGTGCTGGGATTACAGGCGTGAGCCATTGCACCCCGCTGCCTACCTCATTTTTTTATTAATTTTTTTTTTTTTGGAGACAGAGTCTCGCTGTGTCACCCAGGCTGGGGTGCAGTGGTGCTAACTTGGCTCACTGCAACCTCCACCTCCTGAGTTCAAGTGATTCTCCTGCCTCAGCCTCCCAAGTAACTGGGATTACAGGTGCCCACCATCACGCCCAGCTAATTTTTGTATTTTTAGTAGAGACAGGGTTTCACCATGTTGGCCGGGCTGGTCTCGAACTCCTGACCTCAAGCGATCTGCCCGCCTTGGCCTCCCAAAATGCCGGGATTATAGGCATGAGCCCCTGCACCTGCACCTGGCCTAATTTTTTTTTATTTTTTTGCAGAGACAAATAAAATGTTGCCCAGGCTGGCCTCAAGTGACTCTCCCACCTCGGCCTCCCAAAGTGTTGAGATTATAAGCATAAGCCACTGCGTCCTGTCAAATGTAAACACTAGTCGCCAATTACAACGTCAACAAATAACTGGGTCAGAAACAAGGATGAAAGAGTAGGAAGTTCAAAGCTGGTGTAGTGCAAATAACCCTAGACTGGGGTGCTGATAAATCTGGGTGATGTCTAGGTGACACTGAGCAGATTGCAAAACCCCAGTTCCATTCCATCTTTAAAATCTTACAATTCTACAGAGGAAGAAAAAGGTGATCTTTATTTGGAAGAAAGGAAGATCTTGGTTTGATATGTAATAGGCAAATAACAATGCTATTAGGCTAGGTTGTTTAAATATGAATTAATGCCTATCCCATTATCTAGATTGGGTTAACACCCTCTGGTGATATTATATGTCAGTGCTTCTACTGGATAAACGCCAAACTTCTCTCTGGCATTTAAGGCTTTTCCTGCCCAACTTTATCTCAAACTTCTCATGGTTCAGACCGCTAACCCTCTGCTCTAGCCCCAGTCCTGTTTCCTAATCACCACTTACAGCTTTTGCTTAATCCTTCCCACCCACCCTCTCCTAAAGTTCCATAACCTTCATAGAACGTTCCAACTGCTTAAATTTTATGTATATATATATGTACAGGTACTTCCCAATCTTGGCCTTTCTACAGGACTTTATAGCAATCCTATGTGGTAAGCACTGTTGTCCTCATTTCATAGATAAGGAAATTAGGCCCCAGAAGGTTTTGTGGCCTGCCTAGGGTCCTTCAGTTTCTGAGCAGCAACAAGGCTGGGTGTGATTTGTTTGCCTTCAAAGCCCATACTTTTTTCCATTGTACTATGCTGCCTCCATGTATTAAACCATGGAGTGAGGATGCGGTAAAAAAGCCTATAAACCAGTTGTAATGCAGCTTGTTGTGGCATAAATTCAGATACACCACATCCTTTGAACCACACGTGTAATAAACGCTTGGAATAGTATGGATCGATTTTAAGGAGGTTGTTAGTCCTGTTTCCCAAGTCCAGCATTAAAATGATATTCCAGGGTAAATGACAGGTAGGTGGCTTGGAAAATAAAAAAAAGCAACATGGCATAAGAAGAAAATAGTAGGAACGGGACAGAAAAGAGACGAAAGTATAATACAAGCTGGCAATAAACAAAACAGACACTAAGAATATGAAATATGGAATATGGGGCTGAAAAGGACGAAAGGGCTAAAATTCCTAAGTTAGGGGCCCTATGCCTACCGATAAGATGCGCGCGTGTGCGGGGTGGTTATTAATGACAGAGCAGGACACATGGCCAGACAGTGGAACTCAGCAGAGCGACAAATAAAGACAGGTCGTGGGAGCACGGGTAGAGCCTGGCACAAGAGGGCGGGGGCCCGACTGAGGGGCCAGAGGGCATGGCAGGGGTTGAAGAGAAAGGTGAAGAGGTTCAGAGGGCACAGCTCCCCAGACTCGAGACAGGACTTCTGTCTTCCCTCAATAGCTGTTGGTGTGCTTCAGGATTCACACCCGCACCCGGCACAGCCCTCCCGGGTGGCTCCGGGAAGAGAGGGCGGTCCTGTCCCCATTCCTCCCCTACTCCCCGGGGACTCCGCGAGGGGCGGAGGGAGGCAGGAGGGTCCTTACCCAGGAAGATGGAGATGATCAGCCGCAGCGCCTGTTCTGACGCGCCCAGGGACGTCGCCAACTTGTTAAGGCTCAGCTCCTGGAAACCCGACTGCAGAACCCCCGCCAGCGCCACCACAGTCCCCTCGTCCCCCTCCGCTGAGGACGCCATCTTAACTCCGGGCGCCCCACAGGGACCCCCCAGCTCCGCGCGCCCCGAATGCAGGCAAAACGCTATCGCTTCACCCCCAATTCCGGCTCGGGGCCCGCCCACGGCGTGCGCATTGGCTAGAGGCCCGCCCCGCGGCGCCAGCTCACCCCGTTATTGGCCGACCCGCGCAGAGGGCGGGGCCTAGAGCGGCAAGGTAGGAAGAGGGCGGGTCTGAAGGTTTGTAAGGCAAAGGTGACTCCTGCCGAGAATGCACACGGTGGAGGCCTAGGGCTGGGCGGGGCTTGGCGTCGGGACCCAGAGCTGCCATTGGAAAGGTCTGAGCCCGTGGCCCGGCGACCGTTCAACTCCGTTCGAAGTGCTCCCGGGAGGAGTCCTCCCGGGCGAGCAACCGGCCGGCCCGTTCGCTGCCTTCCCATTGGCTGAGGCGGGAGCAGGCGAGAGTCTGGGCGCGGGGGGACAGCCCGCGCGCGAGGTTACTCCCGGTCGCCGGCGCTGAGGTTACTGGGGCATGTAACGGGGAGGCGGGAACGCCCGCGCCGCCTCGCGCGCGCCCCCTAACGGCCCCTGCCGGCCCATTCTTAAATTCTTAGGCTGTTAAAGTCGCCTTCACTCCCCGAGGTTCAGTGGAAAGCCCAGTGCCCCAGGAGCAGTCATTGCTCCTTTTGTTTCATGTATCCCTTTTCCATGCAATTTCGTGTAGTAAAACGTGATCTTCCCCCGAGAGGCGATGAAATTAAGAAATGCATATTTAACACTTATTATTTTAATTAAAAATTCAAATAGTTTTGCACTAATACATGTTTATGATAAAAGTTCTAACAGTATAGTAATGTAAAACAGCAGAGTCCTATCTCCAGGTCCTGCTTTCCATTCTCACTTCCTACAGGTAATCCTGTTAAGATTACGCCCCAGGGCGGGCGCAGTGGCTCAAGCCTGTAATCCCAGCACTTTGGGAGGCGGAGGCGGGCGGATCACGAGGTTAGGAGATCGAGACCATCCTGGTTAACACGGTGAAACCCTGTCTCTACTAAAAATGCAAAACATTAGCCGGGCGTGGTGGCGGGCGCCTGTAGTCCCAGCTACGCGGGAGGCTGAGGCAGGAGAATGGCGTGAACCCGGGAGGCAGAGCTTGTAGTGAGCCGAGATCGCGCCACTGCACTCTAGCCTGGGCGACAGAGCGAGACTCTGTCTCAAAAAAAAAAAAAAAAAAAGAAAAAGAAAAAATTTCTGTCCAGCACTTACCATGTGCCAGGGACTGTGCTGGGCTTGGGAATAGAATCAGGAGCCCAGAACCACGGTGGGAGGGTGCACAAATAATAGCATCAATGAACGTGTTGTTGCAAGTGAGGGTAAGTGCTCTGAAGGAAAAGGTCAAGCAAGGTTCTGTGAGAGTATGTAACAAAGGAATACTACGAGTTTCTTGCAATAACTCTTAGTTACAATAATTTGTGGCGCATTCTTGTAAAATTACAGCTTATACTTTTACAGCATTTGCACTTTATAAAGCACTTTTATCCGTATTATTTCACTTGCTTGGACTGTGCAATAGAATATTTATTATGATGATGTCCTCTTACAGAGGCTTGGAAAAATTAAGAACCCGGGTAAGTTCCTTTACAAGTAAGCGGCAGACAGAATTTAAACAAAGGTCTGTCAAATTCCCTACTCCTACTCCCGTTTTGGGCAAAATTTTAAAAAACGAAATATTTCATTCACACAGAAAAGTAGAGGATAATATAACTTCCCCAGGTTAAGAAAAAAAATCACCTATACATTTGAAAAGCTGGTATATCCCTTCCTGAGGGCATTTCCCTCTTTCTTTTCTCAGAGGTCACCACTTTGTTGACTTTGGTATTTATCAATCCCATGCCTATTTTAATACTTTACATACAGCATATATCCAGAAAGGAAAATTAGTATAGTTTTGCATGCCTTATATTGGCCGGGCACAGTGGTTCATGCCTGTAATCCTAGCACTTAGGGAGGTTGAGGCAGGAAGATTGCTTGAGCCCAGGAGTTGGCGACCAGCCTGGGCAACACAGACAGACCCTGTCTCTACAAAAAAAAAATTTTAGACGGGCATGGTGGCACGTGCCTGTAGTCCCAGCTACTCAGGAAGCTAAGGTGGGAGGATCACTTTGAGCCTGGGAGGTTGAGGCTGTAGTGAGCTGTGATCATGACACTACACTCCAACCTGCGAGACAGAGTGAGACTCTGTCTTGCAAAGAAACCAAAAATTATATATATAGGCCAGGCGCAGTGGCTCACGCCTGTAATCCCAGCACTTTGGGAGACCGAGGTGGGTGGATCACCTGAGGTCAGGAGTTAGAGGCCAGCTTGGCCAACATGGTGAAACCCTGTCTCTACTAAAAATACAAAAAAATTAGCCAGGCGTGGTGTTGGGCGCCTGCAATCCCAGCTACTTGGGAGGCTGAGGCACGAGAATCACTTGAACCCGGGAGGTGGAGGTTGTAGTGAGCCGAAACCGTGCCATTGCACTCCAGCCTGGGCAACAAGAACAAAACTGTGTCTCAGAAAAAAAGCTGGGCACGGTGGCTCACCCCTGTAATCTCAGCATTTTGGGAGGCTTGAGGCAGGCGGATCACCTGAGATCAGGAGTTCGAAACCAGCCCAGCCAACATGATGAAACCCCGACTCTACTAAAAATACAAAAATTAGCCAAATGCAGTGGTGGGTGCCTGTAATCCTAGCTACTTGGGTGGCTGAGGCAGGAGAACTGCTTAAACCTGGGAGGTTGCAGTGAGCTGAGACCGTGCCATTGTACTCCAGCCTGTGCGACAGAGCAAGACTCCGTCTCAAAAAAAAAGAAAAAAAAAAAAAGAAAGAAAATTATATATGTATTTATAACTTCAGTAAAGCCTAAACATATAGTGTTTATAGAGTCCAACTAAACTGCCTTTACAAAATTATGACAGTAAGAGAAATCTGATATAGTTGACTTCATCTTGCTTTTTTTGAGACAGTCTTGCTATGTCACCCAGGCTGGAGTGCAGGAGCATGGTCTTAGCTCACTGCAACCTCTGCCTCCCAGGTTCAAGCAATTCTTGTGCCTCAGCCTCCCAAGAAGCTGGGATTACAGGCATGCACCACCATGCCCAACTAATTTTTGTATTTTTAGTAGAGATGGGGTTTCGCCATGTTGGTCAGGCTAGTCTTGAACTCCTGGCCTCAAGTGATCTGCCTGCCTCAGCCTCCCCAAGTGCTGCGATTAACACGTGTGAGCACTATGCCCAACCTCCCTCATGCTTTTAACCTCCAAGCTATCTTTGGTCATTCCTGGGCATAAACCAAACTGACTTTGGGAGAAATGTAGTTTATAGTTAACCTTAAAGCAGGGATAATAGCCCGTCCCCAAACTAAGCCACCTTTGTAAAACTAGTGAAAGGCCACCAGGTTAAGCTTATGGAAGGGGCCTGAATTCTGCTAAAACGTAGGCATAATTAAGTGATTCCCAACCATTGTTCAGGAGGTCACCAGATTTGTAACTTCCCCAATTATGCATCTAGATAACATCATGTTGTAGAATTTAAGGTTGACCTTTTAGGATGTCTTTTCAGATTTTGGCATTTCTGCAAACGCCAGCTGGACTCATGACTCAACCAGTCCTATGGACCCCATCCAGAGGTGGAATCAGGGCATGAGGATCATTTGCCATACCGCTCTGATTGCATCCCCAACAAACCAGCAGCACTTATACCGTAGGCCCCTGCCCACCAAACTGTCTTTGAAAAATCCTAGCCTCTAGATTTTCAGGGAGATTGATTTGAGTAATAGCTTCATGTACCGTGTGGCATGGTCAGCCTTGCATCAATTAAACTCTTCCTCTAATGCAATGCCATGGTCTCAGTGAATTGATTTTGTGTGTGCAGCGGGCAGGAAGAGGCCCACTGGGCAATCACACAGGATAGTGTATGGCAGTGTCCTAGGCCCTCACATTCATTCTCACACTCTTCATACTCACGACTCACCCAGAACAATTTTGAGTCCTGCAAGCTCCATTCAGGTAAATGGCCTATACAAGTGTACCATTTTAAAATTTATTTTATTTTATTTTTTATTTTTATTCAGACGGAGTTTCGCTCTTGTTGCCCAGGCTGGAGGGCAATGGCATGATCTTGGCTCACTGCAACCTCCGCCTCCTGGGTTCAAGTGATTCTCCTGCCTAAGCCTCCCGAGTAGCTGGGATTACAGGCACGCACCACCACGCCTGGCTAATTTTGTATTTTTAGTAGAGATGGTTTCTCCATGTTGTTCAGGCTTGTCTCGAACTCCCGACCTCAGGTGATCCGCCCGCCTTCTGAAGTGCTGGGATTACAGGCGTGAGCCACCGCGCCCGGCCTTTTTAATCTTTTATACCATATTTTTACTGTACCTTTTCTATGTTTAGATGTGTTTAGATACACACAAATAGTTATCATTATAATTGTATTATAATTGTAATACACAATATTCATTATAATAACATGCTGTGCAAGTTTTTAGCCGAGGAGCAATAGGCTATACCCTTGTAAACTAAAGTAAAATTCGAAGCCCCCACTAACTGACCGAATGGACCCTCTCCTGGCAAAGCGGACCCCAGAGTAACCTTGAAAACTGAGTTATTGGTCGTGATGGGATGAGGCCAGGCATGCCTCCTTATGCTCACCCCTCCCTCCTTAACCCGTTTAGGTTTTCTAACCTAAGGGCTAAACAGAAACTAGCTCTTTCAAAAGACTCTACCAGTGATATCAACCAACTGTCTCATATTGTCCCCTCCTTTTATGTCTGATAAGAGAGCTTTGAATACGAAGTGGTTCTGACCAGTCTACAGAGAGTGCAGTGAGGGTTTTCCTGTTCTCTGCTTCACCTTTTGATGCCAGAGGGCCAAAAACTCTGCCCTTAGATCATCCTAATGCCACATTTTTCAACATGGGGTCCGTGGAGAAGCATGAAGCTCAATTGCACATGAGTATGTTTATCCTTTCGTAAAACTCATCACTCCTATAACGTACTAAATACGTACATTTGGCCACCCCACTCAGCATAAATTTCTCTTCCCTTTGGCCCTCCCTTGAAGTGTCTGTTTCTGGCTTCTGGCTGGAGGC